GCTGTGAGCAATGGCTTTGCCAGGTGCAGGGTCTGCCCCAAGAGGGAGGGCCCCAGCGTGAGTCCCACCTTCAGGACCCACTTGGGTAGGGCAAAGGGTAATCTAGCCACCCTTTCTGTGCTGGACTCTTTTGGGATCAGAAACTCCACATGGAACAGCCCATGGCAGAGGGGTCTCTGGAGGGGTCTAGGGCAGTCAATCCACTGGATGTCCTTCCATGCTGGGAAAGGGCAATAGGAGGCAAGGACCTGGTTGTGTGGGTATCAACAACAAAGGGTGTGTGTTTGTGCAAGGGGCAGGTGGAGAGAGGAGGTTGTGAAAGATAAGGCTGGAGGGCGAGGCTGGGTCTGGGCTTGAAAACTATATGGAGTAGAATGAACTTTATCCTAAAGGCAATGACAAACCACTGAAAGGTTTTAAGACGTGTGACAAGCTCATATTTGTGTTTAAGAAAGATTGTTTTGCTTTTGTAGGGAGCAGTGCTGTTCAACAGAAATATGAGAGCCATACATGTGAGCCACAAGAAATTTGAAAATTTCCAGTGGCCACATTAAAAATGTAAAAACAAATAGGTGAAGTTAATTTTGAACAATGTTTTATTAAATTCAATATATCAAAAATATTATTTAACATATAATCAATAGAGAAATCTTAATGATGTTTTACTTTTTCGTATTAAACCTTCAAAATCCAATGTGTGTTTTATATTTACAGCACATCACAATTTGAATGAGCCACGTTTTGAGTGTTCAGTAGCCACACATGTCTAGTGGCTCACCTATTGGACAGTGTAGAGATCATTTATTTGAGAGGAGCAAGAATGGCAAAGCTGTTGCAGTTGATCTGGAGGAGGATAGTGGCTTGGGGGAAAGGGCAAAGGGACAGATTTCAGAGATATGACTTCTAGGTTGTCATCCCAGGCCTGGTCTTAATACCTCTGAATTCCTTTTATCTAAAAGAGAAATAAACTCCTATCTTATTTGGGTCATTTTCCTTGGGGGGTTGGGTGGGGGGTTGCCTTCTACTCACAGCTGGACCTAATTTTAATGAAGATAGCACCTAAATGGAGATGTCTAATGAACAGTTAGGTCTGGTGGTCCACACAAGGAGAAAGGTCTGAGAAAGCTACCTATAAATTTGGGAGTTCCCAATCCATAGCCAGTCACTGAAGCCATGGCAACATGTGAGATCTCCAAGGGAGAACTGTCTAGTGGAAGAGAAAAGGATCTAGAAGAGAACTCTGAGGAACACCAACTCTTGGGACAGGCAGATGAAAAGGAGCCTGCTAAGGCAGCTAGAGAGTTAGGAAGGAAATCAGGAAAGCATTGTGCCATGGAAGCTTAGGGAGGAGACAGTACCAAGGAGGAATGATCAACAATGGCAAAGGCAGCTATCTTTACTGTTTCTAGGGGTTTAGATGGTACCATAAAACCTGAATAAACTGACTTAGGTTTTTGTTGTAGCCCCACATTCCTACAGAAGCTAGTCATGCATCCTCCTGCTCAGTGCCCTTCATTGGGCCCCAAGTTCCTTAAGGATAACATTCTAGCTCCTAAGCACATCCGTTAGGCCCATCCAAAGTCTGGCCCTAGCTTTTCTGTCCAGCCTGTTCCCTTCCCAGCACACTCTGTCCCTGCCAGGCCTGGCTTCCTACCATTCCCTGCCTTGGCTTATATGCTTCTTTCTTTTTTTCTTCAAATATATTTTATTGATTTTTTTACAGAGAGGAAGAGAGAGGGATAGAGAGCTAGAAATATCGATGAGAGAGAAACATCAATCAGCTGCCTCTTGCACACCCCCTACGGGGATGTGCCCACAACCAATGTACATGCCCTAATTGGAATCGAACCTGGGACCTTTCAGTCTGCAGACTGATGCTCTATCCACTGAGCCAACCCGGTTTCGGCTGTATGCTTCTTTCTGACTGAAGAACCTTCCCTCCCTCCATTTTCTCTTTTCCCCTGAATCCTACTATGCTTTAAGACTTACCTCAAATGCTAACTCTCCTGTTTCCTAATTCTTTCAGACAATGTTCCCTAATTCTTCCAGACAGATTAACTAACTGCCTCCCTAGCCCAATGCTCCCATGAGTATTTTGCTCACAATCACAGCCCTCATTGTAGTCTGACCTGTGTTAAGGTTGGTTGTGTGTCTCCCCAACTAGACTGTGAACTTGGAAAATTCTGAGGCTGATTCTGGCTACTCATCCCTGCCCCCCTTGGTGTCCTCCTCCCAGCCTGTTAATGTTTGAGAAGTGTTTATGGATTTAATGGAATAGTTGTTCCTCACAGGCCCCAAGTAATGGTATGGTCTCTATCTTCTTTGTCATATCTCTCCAGGAGTCATGGGGATGAGGGAGACACTAAAATAAAACCCTGTTTAGAGTGAACTAAACAGCCGAAACCAGTTTGGCTCAGTGGGTAGAGCGTCAGCCTGCAGACTGAAGGGTCTCAGGTTCGATTCCGGTCAAGGGCATGTACCTGGGTTGCGGGCACATCCCCAGTAGGGGGTGTGCAAGAGGCAGCTGATCGATGATTCTCTCTCATTGATGTTTCTAACTCTCTATCCCTCTCCTTTCCTCTCTGTAAAAAAATCAATAAAAATACATTTTTAGAGTGAACTAAACAAGAAGTTGAGTTTGAATCCAGCTGCTCTAACAAATAGTCCCTGTCTGAGTTTCCTCTGACCCAAACAGCTTACATCATTTGGGTGCTCCAAACCATCCCGTTAATAGAAAAGCAATAAAAAAAAATAGTAAAATTAAAAGTTGGTTCTTTGAAGAAATGAACAAAATTGACAAATCTTCAGCTAGACTGACCAAGAAAAAAGAGAAGACTCAGGTTACTACAAGGAGTAATGAAAGAAGGGACATTGTTACAGATCTTAGAGAAAGGAAAAGGATTACAAAGGAATACTGTGAACAAGTATACTATTTAATGCTATTAAATTAGATAACCTAGATAACATGGACAAATTGTTAGAAACGAGCTACTGAAATTACTTCAAGAAATAGGTAATCTGAATAGACAAAAGAGACTGTGTTAGTGTTTGTAAAACTTTCCACAAAGAAAATTCTAGGCCTAGATGGCTTCTCTGCTGAATTCTACCAAATCTTTACAGAATTAATATCAATATTCCACACTCTTCTAACAAATACAATAGGAGGAAACATTTCCAACTTATTTCATGACTCCAGTATTACCCAGATACCAAAGCCAAACAAAGACATCACAAGAAAAATATGTACCAACATATCAATGTAGATGCAAAAATCCTCAACAAAATACTAGCAAAATGAACCCAGCAACAATAAAAAGAATTATACATCATGACCAACTGGGATTTATCTCACGAATGCAAGATTGGTTTAATATTTGAAAACCAATATACATAATATACCATATTAATAAAATAATGGACCCAAGCCACATGATCATCTCAATATATGTAAAACAAATATTTGAAAAAATTCAATACCTTTTTACTAAAAAAACACTCAACAAATTATAAATAGAAGTAAACTTCCTAAGCTTGATAAAGAGCATATAAAAAACACCCACATCTAACAGTAGACTTAGTGGTGAAAGACTGAAAAGCTTTCCTCCTAAGATCAGGAACAAGATAAGGAAATTTACTCTCACCAATTCTATTCAACACTGTACTGAAGGTTCTAGCCAGAACAATTAAGCAAGAAAAAGGAATAAAAGGCACCCAGATCAGACAGGAAGGAGTAAAACAATTTCTATTCATATATGATATGGCCTCATGTATAGAAAATTCTAAAGAACACAGACGTACAAAAACTATGAGGGACTTATTAATGAGATCAACAAGGTTGCAGAATACAAAAGGACAATACACAAAAATCAATTATATTTCTATATACTAGCAATGAACAATCTGAATATAAAATTAAGAAAATAATTCTATCTATACTAACAAAAGAATGAAATATTTAGGAATGTATTTATCAAAAGAAACTTAAGGCATGTATACTGAAAATTGTAATACATTATTCAAAGGAATTAAAGAAGACCTAACTAAAAGAGAATAAATCCCATGTTCATAGATCAGAAAATTTAATATTGTTAGGATAGTAATACTCATCAAATTGATCTATGATTCAACATAATCTCCATCAAAATACTAGCTGGCTTTTATATAGAAAAGGTCATATGGAAATGCAAGGGACTGAGAATAGACAAAGAATCCTGAAAAAGAAGAGCAAAGTTGGAGGATTCACACTTCCAGATTTACAATTTGTTACTAAGCTATGAAGAGAGTGTGGTACTGGCATGAGAATATACAGATCAATACAACAGAGTTAGGAGTCCAGAAATAAATTCCTATATTTATGGTCAATTGATCTTTAATAAGGATGCCAAGACAATTTAGTGGTAAAAGAATAGTCTTTTCAACTAATGATATGGGGCAATTGAATATACACATGCAAAACAAAGAAGTTAGATTCCACCTCACATCTTACATAAAAATTCAAAATGGATCATTTAGCAAGAGCTAAAACTCTTAGAAGAAAACATAAGAATAAATTTTTGTGATCTTGGTTTAGACAGTAATTTCTTGGATATGACATCAAAAGCACAAAATCATTAGCCACCAAGGAAATGCAAATCAGCCCTAGCCAGTCTGGCTCAGTGGATAGAGCATCGGCCTGCGGCCTGCGAACCTAATGGTCCCAGGCTCAATGCTGGTCAAGAGAATGTACTTCAGTTTCAGGATCCTCCCTGGGCCCAGCCCTGGTTGGGCTCATGCAGGAGGCAACCAATCGGTGTGTTTCTTTCACATTGATATTTCTGTCTTTCCCTCTCTCTGCCACTCTATCTAAAAATTTCTCCATCTTTTCCTTTCTCCTCCACTCTCTCTAAAAATCAATGGAAAAAAATATCCTCAGGGGAGGATTTAAAAAATAAAAAAAAACCCACAGGACAAAAAGAAAAATAGACAAATTGGTCTTCATCAAAATTAAAAAAAATTTTTTTTTACTTACCTTGTAGGGTAGTTATCATGATCACAAAGGTGGTCTCTTTAGGGTGAGGCTAACCCATTGCACTCCTGCTGCGCTGACGCAATTTCTCCAACTGTAAGAAATTCAACTGCGTAATTTGTGGTAGTGGGGAACTGCACTCACATTCTCCCCTTAAAAGAAAAGAGAAAAACTTTCATACTTCCAAGTTTCACCATCAAGAAAGTGAAAATACAATCCCAGAATGAGAGAACGTATTTGTAAACTATATGAAGGGATAGCATCCAGGACATATAAAGAACTCTTACAACTCCATAATAATAAAAAGACAAATAACCTAATTTAAAAATGAACAAAGGATCTGAATAAATATTTCTCTGAAGAACATATACAAGTTGCCAATAAACACGTGAGAAGCTGCTCAACATCATTAGCCACCAAGAAAATGCAAATCAAAACTACAATGAGATATCATTTCATACACCCTAGGTTGGTTTTAACCAAAAAGACAAGTAATAACAGCATGTTGCTGATAGGAATGTTGCTGCTTTGGGAAACAGTCTGACCCTTCCTCAGAAGGTTAAGCACAGAGTTACCATAAAACCCATCAATCCCACACATACATAGGTATTGTATATACTGTATATCAAGAGGATTGAAAGCATATAGCCACACAAAAACTTGCACATGAATGTTTATAGAGACATTATTCATAACAGCTAAAAAGTGGAAGCAACCCAAATGATTAATAGATAAATAAAATCTGATATGCTCACACAATAGAATATTAACTGGCCATAAAAAGGAATGAAGCACAGATTCATGGATAACATAGATGAACCTTGAAAACATTATACTAAGTGAAATAAGACAGGCACAACAGACCATATATTTTATGATTCCATTTACACAAAATGTCCAGCACAGACAAATCCATGGAGACAGGAAGTAAATTGGTGGAGATTAGGGGGAAATAAGGGAGTGACTGACTGTGAGTATGGTTTCTTTTTTGGGGGGTGAAAATGTTCTAAAATTAGATGGTGATGCTGGTTATGCAGCTCCGTGAATATACTAAAAACCACTGATTTGTGCAATTTAAAAAGGTGAGTTTTATGGTATGTGAACTATATCTCAATAAAGCTGCTACATAAATAGAATTACCTTATTATGTTAAATGTAAGTCGGGCCTCCATTTCCTAGTGGGAAGATTTTCAAAATCTTCCCTCTAAAAATTGTCCTTAAAAGGAAGGCCAAGTTGTGCAGACCTCATTTTTTAGGGCTCCCCTCACCATTCCCCACCTCACTCTAAGAGACTGACAGTGAGAGAACGTAGTGTATGTTTTTATGACCGTGGAGACAAGGATCTCCCACATATATAATCTTGTCTCCCACTGTTGAAGCTCTCCAAGAGCAATTGATGGTTTCTGACTGCCCAATGCCCATACTCCTGCTTTTTGTAACTGCCTGTGCATTTCCCTTCAATCAGCTATTTATTCTTTGGGCATTTAGCTCAAGAGTGGGGTGAATCCAGAAAAATGACAATGATTTGCCTCAGTGAAATGCCCCGAGTAAAATGTCGTATAGAGTCAGGGGACACTATTCTGATTCTATTTTTTCCTTCATGCATTACTCGAACCCAATAAGCCTACCTTAATCTTTTGGTTATTCAGAGGTTGACAACTCAATATCATTGTTATGGTTCTCTCAAGGCAGGGACTGGGTTCCTCCGACATGTCCAGACAATGAAGGAGGAAGACTCCTAAATTATGAAAGCCATGACTTAGAAACCATTATATACTTCCACTGGAACATCTTCTCTCTGGTTCCTTCTTGGTGACCATTTGCTTTAATATTTCACTAAAGCTCTAATCCACATGTGTCAAACACAAGGCCCGCGGGCCAAATCCGTCCCGCCAGGCCTTGCAATATGGCCTGCACGGCGCTGTCATCACTGCACTCCGCTGCGTTTCCATCACAATGACAGTTTATGACTGTTCAGTAAACCATTCGGCCAGCGATTTAGGCTGGATTTTAGATTTTGGCCCCTTCTCTGATTGAGTTTGACACCCCTACTCTAATCAGTCATTGAATCTTAGCTATGTCAAGGTACTTTGTTAATTGAGAGAATTCAAAGATGAATAAAATGATATCCCAGTTTTGGAGGGTGGGGTGGAAGTGTAGAAAAATGCTCTCTGACTTCTGAGTGTATCAGAGAGAAGAATCAGAAAAAAAAAGAAAAAAGAAAAAAGGAAATTTAAGCTAGGCTAGAGGTAGAGAAATTTCTGATCCACAGGGAAGGCACCCTTTGTGAGAGGGTTTGTAATCAGAGAATCACAGACTTTGGGGCTGACAGGGACCTTACGGGTTGTCTAGTCCTATATTTCTTATCAATAGATGAAGAAATCCAGATTCTGAAAGGTGAAATAACTTGACTAGAACCATACTGGGCTTAGGACTTCTCCTCTGACTCCCAGTCCAGTGCTCATCTCACTAGCTCCCAGTCACATGATTACCCTTGGCTGGCTCCTCCAGATTTCAGGGAACTTGGGGAAAAAGGGCAATGCTTGGGGTTTGGAAAATGGTTGCCTAGGGAAGTTTGTCTGTTAAGGCCACTCAAGAAATCAGCAAGGAAATGGGACAGATTCCAGGAGTGCTAGTCATGTTGCTTTCTTTCTTAGGTTTCCCCCTGGGGCCTGATACCAGGATCTGCAGTGCAATGGGAATATCAGTGTGTGCGCTCCCACCTTTCTCCATCCTCCTGGAGCCCTTGAAGCAAGCCAACAGCTCAAGGGCTTGAAGTGACCTCTATCACTGGATGGTCTTTTTCTTCTGGGTGACTCAGTCAGTTGGGGTGGGAGAGTCCTTGATTGTCTTTATCTGTAAGGTGTCAGGAAATCAGCCAAATTACCGGACAGAGACTCTAAGGAGGAAATCAATTCAGAAATCAGACCTAAAATTTCCCCAGAGCTAACAGGGATTTACCTTAGCTAGCAATCTGGTTCTAGGCCGGAAGACCCAGTGTAAATAGCATTCATTGCCGGTCCTCCAAAGACAGAGAGCCTATGGATAATAAAGAACATTATAAACTGACGAACCAAAAGATAGATATAGAGACAGTAAAGCAACAACCAGACTGTCAAATTACAGCCGGGAGGGTAGGGAGATCTAGGGAAGATAAGAGATCAACTGAAGGACTTGTATACATGCATATAAGTACAACCAGTGGACACAAAACTCTGGGGAGGGAGGGCATGTATGGGGTGGGGCAATGCTATATGTACACAGATAATAATTTAATAAAAAAATTAAAAAAAGAGAAGAAAGCATGGTCATGGTTCATTGAGTGGAGGAAGAGACAGAATGTCTTTCTAAGCTATACTTTTCAGCCATTAATGAGCACCATCAGTTTAACCATTACTCACAGAGAACTACTCATGTTCCAGGCACTGTGCTAAGTTCTGCAGCCCACACATGATCCCTGTCTGCAAGGAACTATAGACAAACATATGACTAACAAGTTTAATTGAATGTGATCAGTGATAAGCTCTGGATGGCCCAAAGCAAAGAAAAGAAATATGCATCCACCTGGGATTCAGAGAAGGCAAAGGAATTAACCACAAACGGAAGCCATAGCCTCGTAGGCAAGAGAACCACAAGGACAAAGACGTGGACTCTGGGTGTGGGGGAAGCCATCGGCAGTTGATAGTGTTACCAGAGATTGAAGGGGGAGATGGGAAGTGTGGGGCGATAAGGCAGAGAGGGTGTGTGTGTGTGTGTGTGTGTGTGTGTGTTTAGGTAAAGCACAGGGGTTTCTTCTAGTTGAGAGGGACCTGGAGATTTGCATTTTAGATAGATCACTGCAGTGTGGATTGGGAAGGTACCAAGAATGGGGGCAAGCAACCAACTGGAGGAGCACCTGATGCAGGGTATTCATAATGAAAATGAGGCACTTATAATGAAAGGAGGCCTGAACTGGAGAAATATTCAGGAGGAGAGTGATGACAGAGATGTGATGGTTAAGGGAGAGTCTCAAATCTAGGGTGCTTGCAGGTTTCTGACTTGGTGCCTGGGTGGATAATGGGGCCATGAACTGAGGTAAGAAATACAAGTGTGGAAGAGAGATGTTGATGATGGCTAACATTTATTAATCATTTATAGGAACCAGGCATTGTGCCAGGAGTTTTTCATGCATTTTCTCATAACTCTACGGGGTAGATATTATTATATTCTCAATTTATAGATGAGGAAATAAAACTTTGAGACATTATAAATAGCTTGGCCAGATCTGCACAGCTCGAAGAAGAGGGGTAGAAAGCAGTGAGAAACCAGGCATTCTGGCTCCAGGGCCAATGCTCTTAACGACCGGGGTTGATATGTGTGCATGTGGAGTCTGAAGAGCCTGTGGGATACCCACAGTGGAGAGGTCCAGGATGTAGGGCAGCTATCAGGGCCCAGATCATGGTAAAAACCATATACATAGGTGAAACTACTCAAATTGAACAGTGACTGAAGCACAGGGCCCTGGAAAACCCCTCATTTAAAGAAGTAGCCAGAGGGTAATGGGTCCGCAAATGAGACAAACACAAAAATCCCCTGATTTTCAAATCCGAAGATAAGGATTTGGGCAACAGAAAACTGGGCAGTCATGAATGTGTGGTGGCATCAAATAAAAACAGGCACCAAGCTAAGCTGAAGTTAATTATAACAGTCACTGTGCTGCCTAGTAATTACCCTAAACAAGTAAGCATTTTACACAAATGGCAGTAATTAGTATAGCACAGGTTTTCCAAGCTGTGTCCTGTGGAACAGTAGTAGTTCCTGAAGATGTTAATAAATGTTTGGATAAAAAAGGGCTTTGGAGCCAGATAAGTTTAGGAAATGCTGGAATGATTTAGACAGAGCTGCGGAACCCCTGGCTTACACTTCTCTGCTAGGAGGCAGGAGAGTGGATGGCTGAGTGTGAATACCGGGAGCACTCAGCACAGCCTGGGGTTGAATCCTGCTGCTGACAAGCTGGGTAAATCTTGGACAATTGACAGAACTTCTCCAAGTTTTCTCTGGACAGGGGAATAGTAATATACTCGCCATGATGGTTCTAGAGATTAAATGCAATAATATATGCACTTAAAACACTTAGAAGAGAACCCAGCACAGAGTGAGGGCTCTACAAATATTAGCTCTTATTTTTAAACCATGCTATTATTAACAAATCTTTCTGATATTCTGGAGTTTAGTCCTTGACACACACTACACACACACACACACACACACACACACACACATATGCTGACACCTTATTTCTTAAAAGTCAAAGTCTGACCCCTGTTAGATGAAGTTCTCTGTGTCCCTCCAGACCACGGTCAGGGCCTGGGAATGACCAAACTCTTGCCCTATTCTAATCCAGCGAAGCGGGCCAGAGAAAGGGAGGATTTGTGTCCTGGCTGCGTTGCCTTTCAAGGGCCACCACTAGTTTAATTCCCTTTATGCCCACTTGAAACAGGTATGCCCCCTTTCCAGTGGATGCTGGCCTGTGCCAGGGCCACAGCAAGTGGAGTGCAGGCTGTATTTTAGCTTCCGTTTACTTCTGAGGCTGAATGCCACTGTACAGTGAACAACCTGCACAACCATACATGGCGGTTCTGACCTTCAGGGCCCTAGATGAGGCTGGAAGCTAATGATCACGGGAGAAAGAAGGTACTAAGTTCTCCTCCCAGTAGTTCATGAGATTAATTCTCCACAAACCCTAAGTGGATAAAGCCTCCTTCTCCTCCCACTTCTCCTCCCTCCCCACATATGCCCCATCCCCCATTCATTCACACAGAGGCTGACATCAGAATACTCTCCCTGTGAGGGGGTTCCTCAGGCTTTGCCTATTCCTCTGAAATCCTGGCTGAGTTTGGCAGATGACAGAGCTGTGGCAAGCAGAAGTGGGAAGGGATGATTTTCCATGTTCCCCTGACACATAATGGACACTACATCATGATGTCCTCAACCATAAGCAGACAGGGCCAGAGCCAGTCTTGACTATGGTTTGGGGCAGTGAAGGGAAAGCGATGGCCACGGGAGCTTCTTAATCCTCACTGTACGGCCCAAATGCTTGGCTCCCAGAAGACTCGCCACTTTTTAAGGTAAACAGGTGAAGAAAAAAACAACCAAACAGATCTTTCCTATTCTCCTCTAGACGTGTGAGGCGGGGGAGGGCAACACTCCCCCAATGTGTACATACTACACGCACTCTCATAAACAGCCTCTCCAGCTACGCGTGGGGCTCCTGCCTAGAAGCACCACTTCTCAGCCTAGAATTCACGTCCAGGCGTGACCTGTTGTGACCTGTCAAGGGACCCCCCCCCACCCAACATTGGTTCTCTCCTTTATAAGGAGAGAATATGGAAGGGTGAATTTTAAAGCTCCTCGTAGCTCTGACGGGCTACGTTTCCCACTTCCAGGGGGTTCTGTCCACTCCCCCTCCAGCCCGGATTAACCAGACAGGCAGGGACTGACCGACCAGAAAGGCTTACCGACGACACAGCTCCCTTCTCACAATTGTGCTTACGTGTGTGCCTCCACTGCTCTTGAAGACAAACAGCGACCCAGGCCCGGGCTGGCAACTTAGTGCGGTGGCCTCGAGGCTCAAGAACAAAGGCTGAGCTGGATGGAGACGGGGCCTTCCTTGGATGTGAGGGGAAGGGAGCCCTAGGGCTGGTTCCAGACTTTCCCTGTTCTCCTTCCCACAGATTTGGGGGAGGGAAGGGGGTCTTTGTCTTTTCCTCTGAGGCTGATGACTCCCCCCTCCTCCCCTCCCCCATTCCCCCTCCTCTCCCTAAGGTTAGGATCTCTACCTCTTTCCCCCATCACCTCCCTGGGTCTGAAATCCCCATCCTCCTCTCTTTATTCTTTTTTTGGGGGAGGATTGGGGTCTTTAGCCCCTCCTCCTCTCCTCACTCTCGGAGCCTCGCCTCTTTATTCCTTTTTTAGGCCCAGCCTCTCCAGTCCCGGGTGAAGGGGGTCCGCATTCTTCTTTTTCTTCTAAGGCCACGACTCCCTCCCCCACTCTCTCCGGCTCCCCCGCCCCCCAGCCCCGCGCCCGGCGCCCCTCCTCCCTCCGCCCCGAGGCATTGTGGGAGGAAACAAGATGTGGGGCGAGAGCGGCGCGGGGAGAAGCCCGCAGTGCGGGGCCGGCCGGGCGCAGCCAATGGGGAGCGCGGACGGCGGCGCGCGCGGCGGGGGGGCGGGGCGGGGCGCTATTTCAGCGGGGGCCGCGCACCGGTCGCTCTCAGCGGCGGAGCGGATCGGAGCCGAGCGGCGCGGTGCCAGTGCGGACGGAGCAGGTGGCCGGCGGGCGTGAGCGGCGAGGGCGGCCGGGGAGGCTCGAAGGGCGGACGGCAACGGCCAGCTCTCGGCCCGGGGCTGCGGGAGCCGGAGACCGACCGGCGGCGGCGGCTGCTGCCGTAGGAGCCGAGGGTGTGACACCGCCCCTGCCCGCGCCCTGCCTCAGGCCATCGCTGCCCGCTCCCCCGGGGCCTCGCGCGAAGCCGCCTGCGTGAAGGTGAGCGGTGGTTGGGGGCGTCCCCCGGGCGGTGGCCTTCCGACGCCTCGCCCCCCTCGGCCGCCGCCGCCTCCTCTCCTCACGAGGGGCCCGGAGCAGGCTGGCCTCGGCGTGACGCCCCCGGCGCCCCTCCTTCCCCGAGCTGCGCCACCCTCTGCCTTCGCGACCCCCTCGGGGCACGGCGGGAGGCCCCGGGCTGCGGAGCGGCGGCTCCCGTCCCCCGGGAGTCCCCCCGCGCTACGTGGAGAGGTTTCTGGTGTTGGGGCCGAGGGGATGGGGTGGGGAGGACTCGGGCGTGACGCGGCTCCTCCTGCCGCCGCCACCGAAACCGCCACCGCCGCTCTCGGGGGCGCCCTTCCTGCGGCGAAGACGCCGTCACCCCCACGCCGCTCCGGGCCGGCGGGGGAGGTGGGGGGGAGGATGCTTTCTCTCTCACCTGGTGCTGGCCGGCTTTCTGGGGGGTGGGATGGTGGAGGGATAGGGCCTCTTGGGAGGTGGGAACGGAGGAAATTAACCAGAGTCTCTGTGTTAGGGAGCCTGGTTCCTGTCTTTCCGAGGCTTTAGCCTTTTTTTTTTTTTTTTTCCCCCCTGTCGCAAAACCGAGGATAGAGGATGGGAGCTGCTCTGGAGTGCCCTCTTGGGCTTTCCAAGGAGCTCCTGGCTCGTGACTGAGGCAGCTGGCCGGGGGCCCTCGGGTTATCCTTCTGTCTGGAGGCCCCAGGCCCTTGCCCTTCCCCCCCCCCCCCCCCCCCCCAGGAAGGAGAGGGGCTAGGCTGGCATCTCCGCAGCCTTTTCTCACCGGCACCTTGGGCAGGGGAGATTGGGGCTACTAGGCCTCACCTCTCAGACGCCTGGGGGGCCCGGGGTGAAGAATCGTGGCATTGTAGTCACAAGACCAACGTTATGTAACGGCAGGCTCCCTCCTGGAGAGTAAGGTGGCTTTAATTACTCTGATAAAGTTGTCCCTTTGCACTTTGGGGATGAGGCAGTGGGGCAAGGTGAGCTTGCTGGGGAAAGGGTGCTAATTTGGTACTTGAGCTCGGTGCGTTTGTAACCTGGCCCCACCCCCACCCTGAGTTTATAGGATACCAGATGACACTAGTTTTCTTGACAACACAGAGACATATCAGCACGTTCTCCCAGTGCTGCTCTAGTACCTTTGCTCAAACTCACGAAGTCGCCTCATTTGTCTTATTTAAAAATCACTGGATTTTTTTTTTTAAGAATACCTTGAATTGCCCAAGGTCATTCAGGTAGTGCTCACAGACTCCTCTTGAGGCTCTGACTTTTCCTCCCGGGATGTGGGGACAGGGGTTGCTCATCCACTCACTAATTCTTAGCTCTGCCAGGCTCTGCTGAAGTAGAACCAGCCCTGCTTAGATTGATAGAGTCAGGCAAAGGTGCTTTGGATTCAGTTAAGGGTTGCCTAGCTGGCAGCTGCCTTGCATGAATTTTTTGCATCTGATACAGGTAAAGGAGTAGTTGTGAATTCTGTTTCCCTTTCAGCCTACCTAGGCCACAGGCTAGTGCGCATTCAGAGATCAGGGTACCTGGGAACAATACCAGGGATCTCTGAGCATGCAGTGTCCTGTGGAGCCTTGTATCAGACAGGGCTGGAATGACAGCATTTTTTGGACCCACAGAATGGTATTTTGGGGAGTGGGACATGAGGGGAGGGTTGCTTTTTACTGCTCTGTGTGACAGAACTGTGGTCAAGGACAAAGGATAGGATTTTGCAGCTCATCTCCTTTATTCTTGCAAAGCATCCTCACATGCTACAGACTGCTAGGCAGGTTGTAGCCAGCCCTCCTGCGATGCCTGTCATCCTAGGCCTACCCCAGAACTCTCTAGGTTGCTATAGGATGAATACCTGGTTTAGATAGCAGAGCTATGGAAAGGGGGTGTTAAAATAATTCTTCACCTTTTGTTATGTCACCTTGGTAGCCTTGGTGTTGGGCAACATTTTCTGTGAAGGGCCAGATAGTAAACATTGTAGGCTTTATAAGCCATACAGTCTCTTGCAACTTTACTCAACTCTGCCATCGTAGTGTATTCCTCTAAAACAATTTACAGAAACAGGTGACCAGCTGAATCTAGCCAATGGGATAGACCCCTATGTAGACTTTTTTTGTTAACAGATGTTCTCATATAATTTTAATTAAGCCTTATAACAACCCCCTGATACTTAGTAGTTCCTATCCTCATGGCTAAAATTCCTAGTCTGTCTGCTTTCTACTGTGATACCAATGATGTAATAATGGTCATTAAATCGAGGGCTTATTGTCTTCAGGTATTATGCCACCTGGTTTACCCTCAGGATAACCCGAAGTAATGGCATGAAAATACACAAGTTAAATAATTTGCCACAAGGACATTGATAGCAGATGATATATTATAGTGTCTAGGTTATTTGTGCTATTCAAAATATCAGAAAGAGATAAATTTAGAGTTGGAAAATCCTCACTTTATAAAAACTGATGGCTTATTATATCTTTGTTACTATTTATCTTGTATTTCCCAGGCTTGGAGGTCATATCTCAGTTAAGAGCTTAGGAGCTGCTTCTATTACCTCTTGCCTTGTGCTTTCTGTTGTTCTTACCCTCCGTGTTCCCCTCTCCCACTGAGGCCCCATACCCAGTTGCTAATACTTACTGTCCAGAGTCATGGGGTTGGTTAGTCTGACATCTTTGCTTCTTCTGCAGTGTCACGATGTCTGACCGGAAGGCCGTGATCAAGAATGCAGACATGTCTGAGGACATGCAACAGGATGCCGTCGACTGCGCCACTCAGGCTATGGAGAAGTACAACATAGAGAAGGACATTGCTGCCTATATCAAGAAGGTGCATTGGGAGAGCTGTGGCTGGTGGCTGGGGGTGGGGACTGGCAACTGAGCTGTACCCCATGGAGGGCTGGAGCTGGGCATGTAGGAAAGCAGCTATATTCCATGCAAACAAAACCCTAGAAACTTGCAAAGCAGACAAATTAGAGAGTGATTATTAATTACCAAATAATTTATCTTGGGCATTTTTAATAGGAACTCTGCTGGGGTTTGGGTGTGTATATTTACATATAATTATGTCACTGCAAGGGATCGGGGAATAAAGCTTCAGTATTAAATATAACTAGCCCAATTCAGAACTATTCATAATGAACATCAATAATATATGAATGGATAATATAAGATTGGATACAAGTTTTCAGGGAACTTCCTCATTTAAAGTAGTATATCCCTATAATAATCCTCATCATGTAGGAAAATTCTTTTTCTTTCTCTTAAAAAGGACTTGGGTGGAAACACACACACAAACATTAAAAATGATTGTTGTTCTTGCCTACCTTAAGAAAAGGGTGGGCTTACTATATAATTTTTTTTAATGAATGAGCAATATTGGGACAATGGGGTTAGTCCCTGAAAAATTCCTGAATGAATGGGTGAATAGATATAGAAATGATGCACAGACCCCCGATTCCTAGTTAGGATCCATGTCCATTGGTGGCATAGTCCTAGTCTTTGATATTCCGAGCTCTGGTATCCTAAGACCATGGTTGGCAAACTGTGGCTCATGAGCCACATGTGACTCTTTGGCCCCTTGAGAGAGTGGCTCTTCCACAAAATACCACGGCCTGGACAAGGCTATTTTGAAGAAGTGATGTTAGAAGAAGTTTAAGTTTAAAAAAACTTAGCTCTCAAAAAATTTTTTATTTTTTATTTTTAAAAATATATATTTTATTGATTTTTAACAGAAAGGGAGAGAGAGAGCTAGAAACGTCGATGAGAGAGAAACATCGACCAGCTGCCTCTTGCACACCCCCCATCGGGGATGTGCCCGCAACCAAGGTACATGCCCTTGACCGGAATTGAACCTGGGACCTTTCAGTCCGCAGGCCGACGCTCTACCACTGAGCCAAACCGGCTTCGGCTCAAAAGAAATTTCAATGGTTGTACTGTTAATATTTGGCTGTTGACTGAGTTTGCTGACCACTGTCCTAAGAGAATGCCTAAAAGTAGTGGCATTCTGGTCTATAGAGGTAGTAGGATGTCCTGGGGTTTTATAGAACTCTTTACCCAGATGGGGTGGGATAAGGAGAGGAAACTGCAAGGTTTTCTATATGTAGATCCAGCAAGGCTCTTGGGTATGCCAGCTCCTTGCTGAGTGATGTCCTTGTCCTATCTAGGGAGAGAGTCCAGAATCAGACTCTCCGATCCAGAAGAATCCTTAGATATATCTGGGATTATAGGTATATGAGACCTAGGAAAGTAACTAAACCTGAGTTTGGTGATGCATGCCCTTTCTACTGTTCCTTAATATCTTTGGAGTCATGTGGTGTGGGAGTTGTGGATGTTGAGTCCAGGGTTGGCAGCATTGCTGGGCCGATGGTGGAGGGCTATTGCCTTTTCATAGCTGTGGAAGGGGATGCATTTAGAACTGAACCTTCGGTTTCCTGCTGTGCCCACAGGGTGGCAGGGAGCTGTCTATGATTAGGTCACGAGGATTTCCTAAGTGGCTTTGATGCCGAACTTGTGCCCCTGAGAGAAATGAGGGAATTGCCTTGATCTCATGGCTGAGGTACTGGTTTTATGCACATTGCCTGGTATACAGGGAATGCCTTCAATGTTGACTTACACAGAACTGCTTCCTGGTACTCCTAATGTTTGGCCCCCATTTTGTTCCAGTGTCTTGGTTTTTGGCATTTGGAAATACTGGTTTAGTAATGAGGGTGGCGACTCAGCAAGGCTTGCCCCTCTATTCATGCTGTGCAACACAGGAATGGTCCTTGGTGCCACTGGCTTCTCTGATTCCCTTGCTGAAGAGTCACAGGGTGGGCTACTGAATAGGGGTGGCTATGGGCAGGAGAGATGATCAGGGTGTAAAGTGCTAGCGAGAAATAGTGGAGCCTTTGTGGTGTTTCACTATTAATGAGGAAAGGAGTGTCCTAGCCAGCTTCAGAACCTGAGCTTCTGAGGTTCCGGGAGCGGGGGCAGTGGATGGGGGCTGATAACTGACCAGACTCCCATTCTGATCTCATCCTCCAGCTGTCTAATCACCTTTCTTCTCTACCTTTTATTTTTCTTTTAGGAATTTGACAAGAAATACAACCCTACCTGGCATTGTATTGTGGGCCGAAATTTTGGCAGCTACGTCACACACGAGACAAAGCACTTCATCTATTTTTACTTGGGTCAGGTTGCAATCCTCCTCTTCAAGTCCGGCTAGGCGGCTGCAGAGAAGGTGTCAGTGGCGGCGGCGATGGCAAGCAGACGGCGTTGCTGGGACTATTTTGCACTGGGGCCAGCATCAGGATGTCCTCTCCAATGGCTGTGCTACTGCATGGACTGTATACTCGATTTCATGTGTATGTCGCAGTAAACAAAACCAAACTTTTTTCTGTTTAGTTGCCTGGGGAAGAAGGCTGCTTTACATTTATTTTCAAAACTTAAAAATTTTTTTGTTGTATTGCACTAGGAAATCTCTCCCACCCTTTCCTTTTCTCTTTCTCTCTCTTTATAAACTAAGCCCTCAGTAAAGCCTGTAAAACTCAGAAGGCTGGGGAAAGAAGTCAGTTTCTGGAGGTGGAACTAAAACTGCATCTGCCTCTTCCTGGTGGTGGATGCTGCTTTAGAAGGACCAGGGAGGCTGCTGGGCGACAGTGTTAGAATCAGCAAGGAGAGAGGAATAGGAAGGAGGGTAGGGGGATTGATCTAGTACCAGGGAGACTATTCCACTGAACTGTGATTCCATGGCTTGGGGCAGAGTGTGGGGTTAGGGAGGTGGGTTCTTTAAGGGGCCCCGAGACGTGTCTGTGATGTGTGGAGTGGGGAGCAGATTTGTCTTGCTGTCTTTGTCAGAAAAGTTTCTCAGTAAGGGCTGTGTCTTTGTGGATTACCTTCCTGTCAGAGCCCATGCTAAAAGAATGTTGGAGGTAGGATTAGCTTGATTTTTTTTTTCTTTTTATTCTCTACTTCTTTCTGCTCCCTGCTTAGCCCTCAGTTTTCTCATTCCTCTAGAGTTCTCTTAGAGCAGCCCCTGTTAGTTGGCTGGCAAGGGAATTTCTGGTGACTGTAGTTCCTTAGTTAGGTCTTAGCAGTCAAACCAAATCAATGTCTGTGTATATGTGTGTGTTTGTCAGTGTGTATGTGTGTGTGTGTGTCTTGGTTTGGGGTAGAGGGGAGGGAAGGGCAGGATGGTATGGAATCTCTAGGGTATATGGGTAGTTAGGGTACACAGTTAGTTCTAAGTGAGCCTTTATGTTAAAATTTTTTGGGAGGTGAAGACATGGAACAGCCCCTGCACTCTCCATCCCCACCCCTACCCCCAGCCACCTTGCCCAGATACTGCGCTATGGCTGTGTGCTCCCAGGAAGGTTTTAGGAGGATAGCCCACAATGAGTTGACCACATTGCCATCTGTCCTGAAGGTGGCTCTCGGTGGAGAGGGAAAGTGACTTTGTGGTTGGTTGTCACCTCTTGTGGGCAGTAGGGATGGAAGTGATAAGAGCTGTCAGGTGCTTGGGAGGAAGTTTACAGTGATGAAGCCTGGTATCAGGAGATGGAGCAGAGCTGCTGGTGGGAGGAGATTCCAAGGAGAGTACTGGGAAACCTTATCTGTTGATCAAATAGAGATGGGGTGGGGTATGAGTGGGGGGAGTCATTGCTGACAGCTGCTGATTCTTGTAAATTGCATTTAAAACTCTTCTTGTGTAAGGTTGACACTGGTGGGGTTTGGGTCTAGCTCACTTTTTTTTTTTTCCCCCCAACTCCATCCTTGGGCTGGTGGGAAGGCAGGAGAATATCCCCTCTCCAAGAATTTAGTGTTTGCCGAGCTTTCTTTCTGATGCTGACGGGAGGGTGGGAATTGGGATGATGAGTGAGTTCCCTGTACCAAACCCTTTTATGAATGTTCAACTCTGTGTTTTCCCCTGTCCTCCCAGACTTGTGTGGCCAGTTGGAAATGTCTAGTTTGTGTTCATCTCCCTCATTTCTGGAGTTGGGGCTGAGACCCTGCCACATCTCCTATGCTCTGCATCCATGCCTCTTTTGGACATTAAAGGTTGATTGATGCACTTCTGAGCTGTTTGGGTTTCTTTGGGCTTAAAGGAGTTGGTCAGATGGTAGTGGTGCCATACATGGGTGGGGTGGAGGGTGCTTAGGATGGAGTAGGATGGGGGCTCAAGAGAGAAGACCAGGCAGAGAGATATTGGCCCGAATCAAGTTTTAGTTGTAGGGCCCAGTGTTGGCCCTTTAAGTGGCAGAAGACTAACCAGCAGCACTCACCCACAGGTTTCTTGGCTCCCTTGGTAGAGATGGCCAGGTGAGCTGCATTTTGGATCTTCAGTATAATACATGTTGCCTTCTCCATTTCCAGCTTCAGGTTCAGTTTCCAGATCCAGGATGGCAGTTTGTAGCTGCTGTGCTTAGCTTAGAACCTTTGGCCAAAGCTCACAGCTGCTGTATGCCTCATTCTAGGTGTCCCTGAGACCAGGATTGTCTATTAGCTAAGTCCTGCTCTAGCCACTCAGAAATGGAAAGCTGGGGGTCTTCAGAAAGATGGAAACACTTGATGGAACCTGAGAGGATCTTGACTTGGGTTAACCTGGTTGTCCCACTTGGGGGCTCCTGACCCAATATACCCGGACAAGTCAGTAGTACTGAGACACTTCTAAGAGTGTCTGCTCATCTCTGACCCTAAACTTTTTGGGAGTCTGGGCTTATGGCTACATCTTTGCGGAGGTGTTAGAGAGCAGAGGTGCTCTGTATTCATTTCTGTTGTTACTCTAAAACATTTTACTGAGTTCTTGTGTACTTGAGCCTCGGATGCTCTTCACACACAACACGATAGGTAAATTCTGTGCTTCCATGGCATGCATGTTCTAATGGGTTAGAGCAGACATACATTGTACTTTGTTTTTAAAGTATTTTTGTCCTTACCCTAGGATATTTTCCCCATTTGTTTTTAGAGGTAGAAGGGAGAGAAACATCAATGAGACACAAGACTAGTTGCCTCCCACATGCATCCCAACTGGATTGAATATGCAACCAAATTATGTACACTTGAACTGGAATCGAACTAGCAACCCTTTGGTCCATAGGCCAACACTAACCATTGAGCGACTGGTCAGGGCTCAAAAAAAGTGGCAAGCTGCTGGAATTGCTGTCTTGATCTTTCTAGAGAGGCCAATCATGCAAAAAGAGTGGTAGTGTGTGTGAACACAAGATCTAGAACCCAAAGTCCTGGGGTTGAGACTCAGCTCCAACACTTACTGTATGAATTTAGACAAGTCATTTAACCTCTCTGAGACTCATTTGTAAAATGGGGATAATACTGGTCTACCTTAGAGTAGTTACTAGGATCAAATGACATGTAAATGAAAGTGCTTTGAAATTGGAAAACAATGATGAAGACACTGCAAGAATAAAGAATTCTGGGAGTTAGGCTCCTTAAATTACCCCATTTTATGTAGAAATTAAGGACCAGACAGGAAAAGAAACATACTTAATGTCTCATGGATGTTTGGGACAATTGGAATGTAGTACTTGGTCTCCAGACTCTCGGGCCAGGTCTGATCCTGGTTTGATGTAGTGGAGAGGACTAATTTATGACTAGGTACTGATCCCCTACTGGACTGTGGAATGCCCTATACTTGGTGGTGGTATATAGTTTGGTGATTTTTAGTATATTCAAAGTTATGCAGCCATCACCACTAATTGCAGAACATTTCACTCCCAAAAGAAACCTTGTTCTTTTTTGCAGTCATTCTCCATTACTCCTTCCCCCTAGTTCCTGGAAGTCACTAATCTCTCTGTCTCTATGAATTTGCTTATTCTGGAGCCAGCTGACTGGTAGCTATGAAGTGCACTGACCACCAGGGGCAGACACTCAATGCAGCAGAAACCACAGGCATGGCAAAATGGAACAGACTGATAAATCTTAGAGGAAAGGATGAGGGGGCGGTCACCTTGGCCTGGCTTGCAGGGTTTGGGCAGAAACCTGCTCTCCAACATCCTCCAAGGGGCCCCCGATTGCGAGAGGGTACAGGCCGGGCTGAGGGACCCCCTGAGTGCATGAATTGTGTGTCAGGCCTCTAGTAGTTTAATAAACATGAAAGGACTAACATAGCTGCAGGCATGCCCTGAAAGACAACACTATTCTAGGAGTGTGCCCTGATTTACCCAGCTGACTCCTCAGAATAATTTTAAAATATATATATTTCATTGATTTTTTACAGAGAGGAAAGGAGAAGGATAGAGAGCTAGAAACATCGATGAGAGAGAAACATCGACCAGCTGCCTCCTGCACAGCCTCCACTGGGGATGTGCCCAAAACCAAGGTACATGCCCTTGACTGGTATCGAACCTGGGACCTTCCAGTCCGCAGACTGACGCTCTACCCACTGAGCCAAACCGGTTCCGACTGTTAGAATAATCTTGAACTCATGGGACATTTCCAGGAATTTTGGGGACTATGTCTGATGAATATATTCATTGATCGCTTTTGGATCAAAAACAGGCTCTGAGTCTCAAGGGCTGCAAGATTTCCTCAGGTGGTTTTTATACTATCAGAGTTCCAGGGAAACAAACAACCAGTAGGGTATTTTTCTTATCTATCATCTACCTATCCATTCATCTATCAAGATTTATGGTGAGAAATTGGATTATGTGATTGAGGCTTGGGGGGTGGAGGGGAGAGGGTGAGGAAGCAAGGCTGGGAGCCAACACTGCAGTCCACAGGTGGAATTTCTTCCTCAGGGAAGCCTCTAGCCTTTCAGCTGGTTGGATCAGGTCCACCCACGTTATCCAGGAAAATAAAGTTAACTGATTGTAGATGTTAATAATATCTACAAAATAGCTTTGTGGCAACGTCTACATTAGTGTTTAATTGAATATGTAGGTAATCAAGGCTAGTCAAATTAACATCAAACTGATCACAGCTCACGTTTAGTCAACCTGGCACCCACGTGCACCTTCTTAAACATACTCAGTCTCCAAATAAAACCAATAACAGTCATACTTCCACTTAACACGATACAATTATCCTGTGTTACAAGTGAAAATGTGCTTACCCTTTCCCCAGAAGAGGATGTGAAGTCTGGGTGATGGTCACTCTTCTCCCGACAGTCCTGTAACTTCAATATTGTGAAGTTAGTGATTATTAATACATTTTATTGTATATTAGATGACAAGGAGATAGGGGAGAAAAATATACACACACAAACAATATTTATCCATTAAATAAAATGAATACTCATGATCATAATTACAGTCCTAATCTCTGCAATTAGGTGGAATGGCCACTATGCATTCCATTATTTCCTTTGCCTTAGGAAGCATCTTGGCACTGGTTGTGGTTCTTTTTCCTGATGGGCTGCTCCCAAACCTTCATTCTTGAAGGGTCTGTGCCATTAGAAGTTTTGCTGAATTGTGTTAGAGTTTTCCATTGGCTTGAATCACAGGGCCCTAAGGAATCATCTATATTTCAGGCATACTTTTTACCTCCATAGTAGCATTCCAATCTCCCCTTTGTAGTCAGAATCAATCACCCCAGCCAGTACAACTCCCTTCTTTGTCTATTCAAGCAGGGGTCCTCAAACTTTTTAAAGTGGGGGCCAGATCACGGTCCCTCAGAGAGCTGGAGGGCCGGACTATATGAACTACTAATTCCTACTGTAACACCTCGGCTGCGCTCACTGCCAAAAAACCTGGCGGGCCGGATCACGCTCCTCTGCGGGCCGCAGTTTGAAGACGCCTGATTGATTCAGAGGTGTGAGGAGCCCAAAATGACCAAGTGGCAGTCTTAACTTTCAATTCAATGGAATTCCATTCCTCCGTTGAGAACTGTAATTATTATCTTTGGTTGCTTGTGACTCAACTGTGAGGTCCTGCAAAGGAAGGGCTATACTGTATTCCCTTTTGAATTCATTTTGTACAAACGATTTGTGCACAGAATAAATGTAGTTGCAAGCACACGGGGAAGTAGCACCACCTTCTGGCCAAAGTGGGTAATGCTGCACTGGAGCGGGATAGAAATGCAAGAAACCTGTGGCCAAAGCTCAACAAGAGACTCAGAGATCTGAGAGAGAGAGAGAGAGAGAGAGAGAGAGAGAGAGAGAGAGAGAGAGAGAGAGAGAGACAGAGAGAGAGAGAGAGACAGAGAGAGAGACAGAGACAGAGAGAGAGAGAGAGAGAGAGAGAGAGAGAGAGAGAGAGAGAGAGAGAGAGAGAGAGAGAAAATACTGTGGTAGATACCACTTTGCTTTTCCAACTTTGCCATCCTCCACCCTCAGAATTTTAGCCTGCAGACGGTAGAGGCATTCTGGCCTCTGGAAGGAGAGGGTTGCTTTGAGGAAATCTGATAGGAATCACCCCTTTGCCTCCCCACAGCGCAGAGGGATAAATCAGGCTCAGAGAGGTGAAGACTTGCTCAAGGTCACCTTGCAAGGTAGTGGCAGTGCCAGGACTGGAATTAGCATGCTTGACTCCTCATTCAGGACTCTCCCCAAGATTCCAGCCAGAGAACACTTTCCTTCTGAAGACTGATGTTTGTGGCTTTTGAAAGCTGTCATCTCTTTGAAATGAATGAACAATTTGGGAAAAGTCATCTGGTTGTTGATGGTTACATGCAGGGAGCTAGGGTGGGGAGTTAAGGGAAAATCCATTTATTGAACCGTTATGTGCTGGGCACTTGATATGTATTATCTTAGACTTTATCATCTATACAATGAAGATAATAACTGCAGCTATTTCAAATGATTATCTCTATATATAAAAGACTACGTGTCTGTCTGTCCCACAGGTAGCTATGACATGCACTGACCATCAGAGGGTAGATGCTCAACCCAGGAGCTGCCAGGACGCCCACTGGCCATTTAAAAATAAATACCACTATGAACTTGGAGCAGGCAAACCAACACTCAGCCTCCCCAAAATGAGACACAGGCCCCACCACCACCCTGGAGTGACACCCCACCAAATCGCAGCCAATGCTGTCAACATGGCGCAAAATGTGGCCCACAGCCCAGCCCAACCCAGCCCTGCTCTGAAATGGTTGCTGTAGGCACAATGTAAT